AAATAAATAAAATCTTAAAAAAAAAAAAAGATGCCATCTCCACATAGGACGGCAGAAAGGAAACTGAGTCACAGGCAGCAAAAGCTGAGTACTGCTGAGGTCTGCTTGGGCTGGGGGGGCTGAGGGACTGGCGCTTGGCACTCCCCACCCATCCGGTACTTGATTCTATTTGGTCCTGTATTTGTTTTGGGGTTTTTTTTTTAATTAAAGATTTTTTGTTTATTTATTTGACACAGAGAGAGAGAGAGACAGTAGGAGAGGGAACACAAGCAGGGGGAGTGGGAGAGGGAGAAGCAGGCTTCCCGCGGAGCAGGGAGCCCGACGCGGGGCTCAATCCCAGGACCCTGGGATCATGACCCGAGCCGAAGGCAGACGCTTAATGACTGAGCCACCCAGGTGCCCCCTGTATTCGTTTTGTCACATCCTTGTTCCAAGCCTCAGTTTCCTTGTCTGTAAAGGGGGTTGGGCGCCCTGCCCACTCCTGTGCGGCCTCAAGGTCAGAAAGCCCCTCAGGACTCAGTCGGTGCCTGAACTCCTGCTCCAGCCTCCACAAGCCGCCGGTCCTCCAGCCCTGAGGGCAGAAAGTTCTTGCACGCAGCGCTGCTTTGCCTCAGCAGATCTGTTCTCTGAGCGTGTGTGAGCCAGACCTGTAGGGCCACAGGTCCTTGCCCCAGGGCGCCCTGCGTGGGACGAGGCTCCTGGCCCAGGCCGGTGGGTGTTCAGCGGGTGGGTCTGAGCAGGAGACCCCTACCACCTCCCTCTTCCCCACTGCCCTCTTGGTGACTGCTTGTGGGAGGCCCACCCAGCTGCAGGGACACCTGCTCCCCTCCTAACCTCTTCCCCGCTCTGAGTCCCTTTGGTATTGAGGTGCCAGCACCATCTCTCATCCAGCCCTGTGGGGAGCAGATCACCTGGATAACACCTTACATTCCATTCCTACTGTGCTTCTGAGCATTTCAAAGTGACTGCAGATCTGTTATCTTCGGGAGGAGGGGGTTATTTTTTCCTTCTCTTAATAGAATAATACCTTGAGGCTGGGGAGGTGGGAGGTGGGCAGTGCCAGCTTGCCTCCTGATCCAGGCTGCAGGTGTCCACCAGTACCTGGCAGCAGGAGGGCAGCGTGTCGTGCCCAGATGCTGGGGACAGGGGCGAGGACATGGTCCTCGAGGACATAGTCCACAGTGGACTTGACATAGACTTCTGCCAAGGTCCTTAGATGGCGAGACCCAGGCCTAGCAGGGGAGAGAGGCCAGCCCAGATAAGGGGGCCCCAAGTGAGTGACAGAGCACTCAGCTTCTCCCGCCCCCAGACCATAGACCTCTGGGTCTATGAGGGGACCAGAAACAAGCCAGGCTCCAGGGTCTCTTGCATCCACGGCCACATCTTAAGCCTCCCCAGCCTGGTCTGTGGCTCCCCTTTCCCCCAAGGTCGAGCAAGATGCAGCCCCAGTGGCTGAGGCTGAGCCCCTCCCAGCCCTGCTCCGGAAGCCACTCTCAGTAGATGGTCCTGCAGGGCTAACTAGGGTGCCAGACTGCCCTTGCCCTTGGCCACAGCAGAAGCAGTGACCCACTCCTGCCCCAGACAGCCAGGGAAAACCGAGAGGCTGGCTGCGGCCTCATCCTGCCCTGCCTACTGTTGACCAGGCATTGGCCTTGGGCAAGTCACTTCCTCTGTCTCTGGGCCGCTGTCTCTGTGCACAAGGGAGAGCTGCCCAGCCCAGGCGTGAGAGGCAAATGGTCCGCAGGATGGCCACCAACGGTTGCTGGAGCTTGTCTGTCTAGTTAGAGTGTGGGGTTGAGGGGGGGGTGGTAAGTCGGGGGGGGTTCCCTGTGTCCTGCTGCTCAGGCACTCGGCTTTTATCGCCCTGTCTGTCTACTCGGGTGGCTTTTCGGGGAAGGACTGATAGAGATGGTGGGGTTGAGGGCCCCCACTCCCCAAGCTAGTCTTGGCAGCGCCGCATGCCCGCTCCCCCGCCCTCCCCAACACACCAGGGGTGTGTCCTCTGAAAAGTCCAAAGCGCCAAATGGGTGGACATATGGTGATTTCATCATCCTGGTTTTTCTTCCAAAACCCTTCTCTGTGCTGCTCCAGCACACTGTAGGGGCTCCCACGCTCCACACAGCGGCTGCAGCCCCGCGTGGTTTTATAATTACCAATCCCTCTGGGTGCACAGGAAGCCAGGCCCTGAGCCCCCTTGGCCACCACCCCTCTGGCCCATGGGCGCCACCCGGTCTGCGAGCTGCTTCAGGGAAGGGTGGGTCCTGCCTGCTTTGTTCTGGGAGTTGGGTGCGGTGCTGGGCTCCCTGCACCAATCCTTACCACCCCCCTGACCAACCACGGTGCGCCTCCGGAGCTGGGCACCCCAGGGGCCTTCCCTCTGTGAAGCTGGGGTCCCTGCATTTGGCACATGAAGAAACAGCCTCGGGAAGGGAGAGGCTAAGTCCTAACAAGAGGCCGAGCTGGGATTCTAACTGCCCCTGCCTGGCCTGAGGCCTGCCTTCTGTGTACTTTCTCGGCTGGGGTGTTCTGAATGCA